AAGGAAATCAAGATTGTCCCGATACCTGCGAACGGGGCTCGCAGCTTGCCCCACTTTTCACTGAAATCTGCTGAAAGAAAACGCTATATATCAGTTCTAATCTTCATCTTGAATTGATGCCCAAAGAATCCAATCAGATCCTAATGAGAATAGTGTTCGTCCCGTAAGATTCCTTCCATCCGCGTCACCCACACCACAATTTTTGCCACTGCTGGCAGCGTATAAAACACCAACCATTTCATCCTAGACCACTCGTCGACGAGCAAGAGAGCCACAAAAAAAAACACCCAACAAAACGAGTCAAGTAAACTTATTGTAGTAATATGTAAATAATTGCCTAATTATCATAGTTTGGGCATAGAGACTATAGAAGTAAGGGGGGGGGGGCAGAAAACGATCCGCAGGTCGAGTGATTCCATTTATCATCTCTCAGTTATATCTTTGTCTTGAGGCAAGGTGCAACCGAATATTTGAGAGGTGCCAGCTGCCGAGTAATGGCTGTCCGCAGAAGTACCACTCTCATTACTCTAAAGAGTGGAGAGTTGGTAGTCATACCGATGCTAGTGAAACTGACGATTACGAGTGCTTGGATATTTTCAACCTGACCCGTGTACACGCGTTCCTGATCCCAACATTAAACTGACCTTGTGTCGCATCCTGTCTGCGTGGGGAGGCAAGTTGATATCGAATACGATACGCGAGTATCTTATTCTCTAACCGGCAGGAGAGCGAACACCTTTGCCAATAATATTTGATCAAGCTCCATCTCCCGAGGGGTCTTCGAGAATTTTTCTACGGTACTGCCGATAAGCCCACATTAAACGGGGCCTTTTGACATATTACGTTTCATCGTGGGCGTGCGTCTAAATATCGACTACAAAGCGCGAGTCTTGTGAGTCGCACTTGCGAGATTCCGTTTATCGGATCTCGTTTGTCATCTCTCAGTTGGGTCTTTATCTTCAGGCAAAGCACCAACAAAAAAAAAAAAAAAAATAGAGATATGCCCGGTCCCAGGGAATAGCTGTCAATACCTACCTCATTGCATGAAAGAGTGGGTGTCGGTAGTAATACCGGTGCCAGCGCAATCGGCAGTTGTGGAGGCTGGGATATTTTTGAACCTGGCCCGGCTACCCACATTCGGTCTCTCTACATTAAACTGACCTTTCATAGTACCCTGCCTGCATGAGGCGGCAAAGCGGATATCCTACCGCCGGACTGAGAAAATACCAAGGAAATTACATTTCATAACACGTGCATTTAGTCGGACTGGTCAGGGTATCAGTTTAAACGATGGCAAGTAGGCCACCTGATGGGGTAGACCCCTAATGGAGTAGTCCCTCTATCATACTTATTATAAAACCCAGGTTATGTGTGTGTGTTTCTGTTCGTTTATATATTGCATCGGATTTCCTACATTTTTCAAATGATTTCAACAAAACTTCACAGGACTACGTAAAATTACATTGCGGTGGTTCTGACACAATTGTTTTTGCACGAAATCAATTTGAAAACACAATTAAGAGGCATCGCTGTCGCGAGAATGAAAGGGGGACAACTCATATCGAGTTATACTTATTATAAAAGCCAGGTTGTTTGTGTGTGTTTGTGTGTGTGTGTGTGTGTGTGTGTGTGTGTGTGTGTGTATTCGTTTATATATAGGATCGGATTTCCTACATTTTTCAACCGATTTCAACAAAACTTCACTTTTTTTTGGCAGGTAGTGTTTCTTATTGTCTTGCACACTTTTTTCTTTATTTTTACATTCAGAATGCTTTAAAAATTCCATTTACAAGACAATTGTTTATAAAATTCTATTCAATCGGGAGACTCATAACGATTGAAAACAATGTTTTTGTTTGAGTTTGGGTTTGACCAATTCGTAAAAAAACACCCCCACCAAAAAAAAGAAAAAATAAAGACATGCGTGTCCGTCAACCTTTAAAAATAATCTTTGTCAATTTTATTTTTCAGTCTTTATGATGGTCGATACTTGATCTATCTATTACTGTTACATCCCCGGGCAACGCCGGGCTCTACTGCTAGTATCAAATAAAAATACAATAAAGAGACCAACACAAGCAACAGTCTTAGGAATGAAGATTGATTAAGAATTTTATAAAGTCATCCGCACACTGTCAGAAATACAAGACCAATGTAAAAGAACATTTTTAAAGCTAAAGATGATAAAGATTAATTTAATAAATTCGCTATCTGAGAATTTGGAATGATGGATGCTGCTATCCATTGAAAAGGAGTTTTTCAATGCGTCCACATTGCTCCCGAATGTGACACAAGATTAATTTAAAGTGGATTTAATGACAATAAAGTGGAAAATTTTGTTCAAGACCTCGCGACACTCTCCTATTTGGAGACACCTCAGGCGCCGGATAATGACATCCATCTCCAAAGGAGAGGCATTGCCTCGGGGATAGCCCCCTAATTTTGAAACTACTCAGCTGAAACTAGATAAGTATCATATTTACCCGTCTCCCCACTGAGACGTGATGTGGAATAAGGTCGGGTTTATTGTGGGGGAAACCCGAGCGCGTACACTCGGGCCAGGGCCCAAAATGACCCAACTCTCACAGCCGACGATTGCGCTGACATCGGTATGACTACCGATCCTCACTCTCTAGTGCAATAAGGGGATTCGATACAGGAGAGGGAAGCTGTTTCACTGAACAGGGTACCTCAGTATTTTTTCCAGCTACGTCACAACTTAGCCGTATCCTGCCTGAAGAGAGAGACGCAACTGAGAGATGGTAAACCCTAGCCGGCATGTGCCAGGTAAGTATTGTCAAATGAACTTGATGCAAAAGCAATTATTGGCCGATTCGCAAAATCATCTAGTGAATACAAACGATTGCTCTTTATAGTGAACTGCATCCAGTGATCTATCGTGCTTTTGAAGTATCTGTTAATGTTTAAATTATGCAGTAAATAATTTAAAGATTATTAACCGATAATTTAAAAACAAACAAAAAAAAATTAAATAAAATTCTGTATTTACATTTGGTAACTACTGCCAACGCATATACACTATAATTTCAAATACACATTTTTCCCACAAAAATGTTAATTGTACCCTTTTTTTCTATATGTATTTTTGACAAATGCATTTATTCGTTATGACAATTAAATCATAACATTGTATTTGTCGGCAGTGGCCCTTTGTATCCTGGAAACCAAGCCCACCACTGTATATAGTTATTTACTAACATGAATTTTGTCTGGTACAAGAGCAGTGTCGCAGGTCATTCAGCAAAAATATTATGCATAAAAAGTACGTCTGACTAGTAACTACCGTAATTCCCTATGTATAATACGCCTTCATTCACAATACACACCCATAAAATTGTGCTGAAATTGTGGGAAAATGCTTCTACTTACGCATAATACGCCCCCTTTTGTTTGGTAATCAAACCCTATAAATTGTACCTCCCCAATTTTATTACGGTTAGCGTTTCCTACTCTTATTTTAAAAAAAATGGTTTTAAACATAGAATAATATTATTCTAATTTAGTTTTATGATAATTCTTATTTTATTTTACATTTGTAAGTATTGTTAGGTACATGTGATTGCATTTGATACCCTTATGGGGTTGCAATCGCCGAATGTTAGTGTCAAATTATCGTATGTTTGTGGTGAGTAGTCATTTCGCAACTGAAATCGAACTATGAAACGGCAATTTTTGAAAGATTTTTTTGTAGCTGTGCATAATACGCACCTTTAATTTTACTTATTATTTTTTTTAGAAAAAAATGCGTATTATACATGGGGAATTACGGTAACCATCGTACCTTTTAGTGCTTTAATCTAGCTATATAATACGTTATGTACATTGGTAAATTGTTGTTTTTTTTTGTCTGTAAAGTTTATGTTTTTGTAACAGAGTTATCTCTTTTGCACAGGCGACTCCACGCGGAAGTGCCTTTGTTATAGCAACTGTGGATAGGTTCAAGATGTTTATGAAGGCACGAGATGGAAAAGCCGACGACGCCCTACAAGAATTATAATTAGAAAAATTGTATTTCAAGACTAATGTGTAAATATTCTAATAAAAGAGATGAGGCAACAAAGTATTCAGTCATATTTGACGGCATGGCTAAAGGAGTTATTGGCTAAACTTACGTTATTTTTGCCTCAAGGCCACAGTAATAGGCACCCACTGAAGATTGAACACGCAACCCCAAGGAACGAGGTAGAAGCTTTTTAAAAATCTTGATTTGTAGAAACGTCTATTCAAAGGAAATTGTGGAGAGCCATAATCATCAACGTCCTGAAAGGACGCAGTACAAGGAAGATGAACAATCTCCCCCAACATGAGGCTATGCTGTAATTTGAGAAATTAAATGTCACGTGTACATTTTTAAAAATAAAAGCCGTTATTAAAATTTAATTTAAAAAAATAAATACTGGTTCAGTGCAGGTTTTTAAATTGTGGAAAAAAAAAGAACATTGCCACTTTTCCCGGGAGAGTTTCAAAATAATATTAGCTCAAGTCCCAGTAAGACATCTCTCCAGGCAGTACCTCTTCTTCGAGAGGGGGCTAGGTTTATTGTCCAGTGTCTGATGCATCCCCAAAAGGGGTAGTGACGAGTGGGCTTGAGCAATTTTTCCACGGTGTTGCAGTTAAACACATTTTAAGCTGGCCTTGTATCACATTCAATAGCGTCGTGGGCTCACTGAAAAATACACATACATACACTGTGTAAGAGCAACAAAGGACAGCAAATTGAGATCCATGATCGCCACCATGGGACACGACACATAGAAGAGGAATATTACTAAGCCTAGCTTAGTCTTGTGTAGGGCGATCGTAGTGAGGAGTGCCCTATGCAGATCGACTTCCCTGTATAAGAAGATAATATTATTAGAAGAGCTTGCAAAACGAGATTTTGTTAAGGATAGTTCTAGAGCAGGCGCCCAGGAAAGGAGAGGACTGAAAGGATCTATAAAGGAGAAATGTAAAGAAATGAAAAACAGATGCAGCGGAACGAAAGTCGTGAAATATGAAAGATACGAAGAAAGGAAGGAAATTTATTGTTAAAAATAGGCAGAAAACATGAATGAAAAGAAGCGTTGGCAACTAGAGAGAGGAAAGCAAAAGCAAATATGCGGAAGAAAATGCACACAACGCGAGTCATCGTCTAAAGATTTGTAGCGAGAGAAAACGGATGAAAAAAAAAATGGAAATAATGGATCGGTAGAATGAATAGGAAGATGGGGCAGATGAAGGCTGAAGATCTCATTCTGTGGGATAAAATATTGAATTGTGCAAAGGAAAAATAGAGAGAGAGAAAGAAAGTGAGAGAGAGAGAAATAATAGCAAAGAAAAATAAGGAACACCGTTATTCGTTATTCTGCTCAACTATTGATTACATTGCAAGTAAGATGGCTGATGTGGGCAAGAGTTGCAGATGACTAACTGAATTCTTCGAGGAAAATCTTTTGCTCTTCCATTCAGTATTTTCATTTCAATTCTTCGCTAAAGTTTATAGGAATATAAAGTAATAAAAGGTTACTCGCCAATCGAAACGTTCAGCAGGAAGATTTACAATGTTTAAATAACAGACATTGCTATTCTATATATAACAATATAACTCATTACAAGGACCCATGGGCCGGTGCAAGGGGCCCCTGCCCACTAATCTATGGATAGGGGGACCGCACGCTACTATATTTCAATTTGTATAAGGTATTATTCATATAAAATACAAATTTTACTGTAACCTAATTAAGTACAATAATGGATCATATGCAATATAGGTGAACAATTCAACTAGAATATTTGAAAATAAATACAATGTATCTAAATACAAATTAGAGACATGCCATAATAGATCATTCCTTCTTAAAACAATCAACAATGTTTTGCGGCAATTTATAACATCAGCTTAATATTTTTCTTGCTAAAAAGTTAAATAATTTGATACAGACCCCATAATGATGTCAAAATCTGTGAAAATTTTTTATCCTTTAATAGTCAGTTGTGCTTAGTTTAATTTGCAACGTATATAAATATAAGGAGAAAAAGGTAAATTTTGATAAGATAGCGATGGTTACAAGGCACTACCCTTGACGCCCCAAAAGGCTCCTCACCTGGTCAGGGGTTGAGGAGTAGTACGCACAGGCCCTGTCTGGTTATCTATTTGAAAAAAGATTTATCTTATTTGTAGAAGATGGACCGTATATTTTATTTGAGTTCACAAAGAGAACAATTTTATAACGATCTTACGGTAAAACAAAGGAGTTAACCTGAAATTGACTGATCCCAGTGATAGAAATAATTTCAATACTGGATGAAAAGCCATTCCACAACTTCACCATTATGGAAAGATAGAAATAGCCGAGTCAAAATCTTAAGCGAATGACTTCAGCTGAATTCGGAAAAATCGTCCTGTCAATGCAGCAAAAAGAAACGCTTTTTTCAATCAATCATGATAAAATGATAACATGTGCAGACTAATGGCTGACATGAGATTTGAATCTTTCATTATAAATAAATTATAAATTAAATTTTAATTCATTCCAACATGTCATCAATACGTTGTGTCCCCCTTGTACTTAACCGAAACATGGACCCTACGATCTCAGTTGCGATGTCTGAAAAACTGTTACTCTCGTCTCTCTAGCAATTGTTTATATAACTGCGTGTATTACGACTCTTTCCCACGCTTGCAAAACCAGAATATATATATATATATAAAGCGTGAAACCCAGGGTCACAAACTCACATCTATCCAACCAAATATGTTAGCTCTATCTCTGATATTGAGCGCTTTCTAATAAGTACCGTGCATATAATATATAAATAATTATACATATATATATTTATTTATATTTATATACACTTTTCACACAAACACACACACACACACACACACACACACATATATATATATATATATATATATATATATATATTACTGAATATACGTAATATCCCACGTTGATAGCACGACTAAGAATTTCATGCAAAAATGCATCTTCAGGTGAAAAATACTCACTGGCCATTAAAGCCTTACGAGATTCGTGTTCTCCTGGTGTTGATATAAAATTTCATGTTAAGACTTGTTTATTTTATTATTGTTGCCTATAATATTATAATTAATTATTTATAATTTATATCATTAAAATTCTCGAAAGACCAAAAATTAAAATAATTATTTTAATTAATTTGAAAAAAAAAAAACTGAATTTACTTAAACACTCTATGTATCAAGGGGGATAACTCTTCTTAGCATAAAAATACCGTAGTTGTAATATATTATTAAAATGTCTTATGGAATAAACTTATCTTTCATGATGTTAACATAGTTATAAGTTAAGACTATATATCTAATACATTTGGAACCTAACTTTATACTTACTGTTGTGTCGGAAACCTACCACCCCTCTTGAAGATGAACTTGTCTGCGTCTGTGAACAAAGACTTTAAATAGTGGCATGTCAGTTGACATGAGGGAAGACAGATAGACAGAGAAGTTCTTAGCTGAGCTAGTTGTTGACTACTCAGGCGATTTCTGTACCTTTTTACCAACCTATTAAAACCCTTTTTATTGTTACGTGTTATTTGGCGTTTGTCTCTACTAACCCCAAATCAACATCATAACACTTACAAAGATGAAATTACATATACACACTTCATAAAGTAATCGAGTAAGATCTATAATATGGAAGATTATGGCTTAATTGTTTTTTTTTTTTTGTTTTTTTTTACGAATTGGTCAAACCCAAACTCAAACAAAAACATTGTTTTCAATCGTTATGAGTCTACCGATTGAATAGAATTTTATGATAAACAATTGTCTTGTAAATGAAATTTTTAAAGCATTCTGAATGTAAAAATAAAGAAAAAAGTGTGCAAGACAATAAGAAACACTATCTGCCAAAAAAAGTGAAGTTTTGTTGAAATCGGTTGAAAAATGTAGGAAATCCGATCCTATATATAAACGAACACACACACACACACAGACACACACACACACAAACAACCTGGGTTTTATAATAAGTATAACTCGATATGAGTTGTCCCCCTTTCATTCTGGCGACAGAATCGTGTTTTTATGGTGTTTTCAAATTAATTTCGTGCAAAAACAATTGTGTTTTTCCAATTTTTGGCGCTGTCGAAACCACCATTAATTTTACGTAGTCCTGTGAAGTTTTGTTGAAATCGGTTGAAAAATCTGGGAAATCCGATCCAATATATAAACACACACACACACACACACACACACACACACACACACACACACACACACACACACACACAATCTGCGTTTTATAATAAGTAAGATGATATATATGTATCTATATATATATACACAGTAGGGGAAAATAAATATTCGTACACATGAAAAATTGTATTTTTATAAATGTAAAAGCCTTAACTAAAACAAATTTTGATACATTTTATGTGTAAAGATACATTTTATTGAAAAATAGTAATTTTTTAATAGTATGTGTCTTTATACATAAAATGTACTGAGATTTGTTTTATTTAAGGCTTTTACATTTATAAAAATACAATTTTTCAAGTGTACGAATATTTATTCCCCCCCTCACTGTATATATAAACAGAAGAGAAAGATATATTTAATTTCACTGTAATTCCCATTCTTAATATTAATGCTGCATCTTATGTAACCAAATTTTAACTTTTAGCTATTGTTCGTAACCCTTGATAACCTGGATTTTATAAGTAAGCAATAAATAACTTAGCATTAAGCAGTAAGAATCTGAAGGTAACAGATGAGCATTTAACCATGTCGCCATGGAAAATTCCGTTTGCTAAATGATAGTTTCACTTTGTAATAGCTTGGCTGCTTTTTCAATTTCGCTCTTCTGAAATATTCTTGCGCAGTCGAGTGTTTGGCACACAAACGCGCACCTCCTCTCTCTGGAAATTAGCGTTCAAGGTTATCCGTTAAATATGGCCGCACGCATGCGCAGTTGAATAAGCAATAACCCTCGTCCATTCGGGTGTGTTTATTCAGTTGTTCAGAATTAATCTGGAGTCAGTATAAAATTGTCCTTAGCATCTTACATGCGCGCTTTTTAAAAGTATATTAAATATCAGGTGAACAGTAAGATTTATGCAGGCATAAATCATACAAGAGGGTGCTGAAAAATGTCTCGATTCGGCCAAGAGGGATGACCACATAATCACCGCACAGTTCAAGAAACTTGGCATATCGTTTCTCAAGTTTTATTAATTCCCAGCCTCGCAAAACAATACTGATGTTTGGCCATTGAAATTGTTATTGTGGGAGTGGGTCGGATAGATAGCATTTTATCCTCACCCACGTATATACGCAAATTTCAAACTTTTCACGCGACCAATATGTTAGCCATAAGGATATGATAGCGTAGAGGGTACGAATATCAAGGAAAAAAGAATGAGGTGGACTTGATGAACTGATTGGTTTTTACGGCTTATCAACCCTTTGCGGGTTATTTAAAGCCAGAAAATATGTTTAGATTTTCAGATTTTTCTTAAAGATAATAATGAAAATTAAAAATTATGTATATATATATATATATATATATGGATGGCAACTGGTCTAGGAGAAGGACAACTCTGAATTCAAAACCTGCGGAGGGTCGTTTGGGAACCTTGTGGCATGCATTCGGTGCACCAGGTTTCTGTATTCGTCCCTCCAAAAAGTGTGGCTGGTCCTGCACGAGGCCTTCACCACTATAATCAAATCTCATGTGCCGGTGTCGGGATGTCGGTTTCCTGGGGACTTATCGGCCTGACCCTCATACGTCGAACGCGATGGGAGAGTCAGTCGATTATATATATATATATATATATATATATATATATATATATATATATATATATATATATTATTTTTGTGTGTGTGTGTGTTCTGATGTAGATGGAGAGATGTGAAGAAAGTGATAGAAATATATATATATATATATAGAGAGAGAGACAGACAGAATTGAACAAGTTGAAAAAAGCTAGTTAAGAATAAATTCAGGCGAATAAAGAGAATGTCAGGACTTTGTAATAATTCGCATGCTGATTTTTTAGGCTTAGTATCATATTTTTTTGTGAGAAATTTAGATCAGTTAGGAGCAAATTAAAAAAAAAAAAGGAAAAAACTGAACCAGACTAGATTACCATCTATGTAAA